TCCTGCCCCAATTGATGCAGCAGCTAAGAGTACCCACCATTACTAGCCATGCCTTGTGTGGACACCCTATTTCAGTATAGGGAAATGACCCAGAAGCCTGGGCTCTATTCCACAGGAAACTATACTCAGGTGAGGGACAGCCTTCCCATCTGTAGCGAGGTTAATAAAACCTAGCCTGCTGATCTTGACCACAGGTGCCAAAAGACATCATGTATTTGACAGTGCATTTGTAAATAATGAGCATTGTGGAAGTTCATCAGGAGTGTTGGTACAGACATCGAGAACCTCCATAGGGGTCATTCAGTTAAGCTGCCCCTCACAGCACCTACACAATATTTGCTGCCTCCATTTTTCCATATAGAAGCTGCTGTGCAGGGATTGAAGGGAAAAGGACCAGTTGCTAGAGGAGCAAAGGCAGGAACCAGCTTGCTGGCAATTCCTATAAGTAATTTTTTGCCACCCTGAAGTCTGCCATCCATTGGATGACTCTTTGGGGAACTGATGCTTGTCCAGGGTTGAGGATGCACTAAGGGGTACACAGGTACCACAGGGATCCTTAGAGGCTTGCACTAAGGGGTACATGGGTACCACAGGGCTCCTTAGAGGCTCGTCCCCGAGTCACCCTACAGTGATCCCCAGACCCTCATTATCTCTCCCAAATCTCAAGGTGAATGTGGCTGGGTAAGGAAATTCCACCTCCTTCTTAGTCCCACGGAGCTCCACAGAGGACAAACACTAACCCCCCAAGGATGCCAGCCCAGACTGTACTAGTTTGGGCCAAGTGCTGTTGCAAGACCCAAAGGGCAAAGAGCAGAGCAGATGAGGTTGTGCGGCGTGTTTCAGAATTACAGCAAGAGCTTGGGCATTAAAGAGCGTGAAATCTCTGAAGCAGCTTGTCAGGTGACTCAGAAGAATATGATGCCACATGAAAGGAACCACTAACCTAACGTGCCTTTGATATTTGAAATGGCCAGGGCAGAGAGAGAGAGAGAGAGAGAGAGAGAGAGAGAGAGAGAGAGAGAGAAGGCCCACCCTGGACAGCCACCAGCTTCTTCCTCTGGGATCTCTGTGTCCATCACAGGGATTAGACTTATGGCTGTAGTCCCGTGAGGGGGGAAAAATCAGTAAGTAGAGGCCCTCACAGCTGAGGGTTGTGAGATCAGTGCACCCCACAGTTGCAGCCGTGGACTGCAAGGAGCTGGCCAGGGCTCAGAGACAAGAATGGACTACTGTGTGTCATCCCTAGCCAGGTCCTCTGGGCTCCATTTCCTCACAGGCTCTGAGGAATGAGAAGGTGTCAGGTGGTCAGAAGGGATTGTGGGAATGAGGAAAGCAGAGAATCTCTGAGTTCATATGTGGTCAGTGCATGTGCAAGTGTGTGTGCACGTGTGTGCGTGTGTGTGCACATGTGCATGTGCATGCGTGTGTGTGTGTGTTACAAAGGGCCCAGAGACTGGCATTTCCACTATCATCCTCACATTGCTGTGTGACACTACCTTTCCATGGGCCCCAGTTTCCTCACCTGCCAAATCCTAGATCGGACCCATGCCATCACAGACCCTTCACTGAAGGTCTGAAGGGCTCTGGAGCACCCTGGGTGTGGCCCGTAGCAAGAAACGAGAAGCCACATGGCAATGAACAAATGAATCTTTCAATGGAGAAGCCTACCCTCCTCAGTGAGGCAGTCAGACCAATATCAGGTTGATGGTGTCCTTATTGCTCTCGGTGAGAACATCACGTCTACAGACTTCCTTCCAAACAATATTACCAAAAGAAAAACTGTACCACATCTCAACAGGGAGACCCCTACCAAACACCCAGCCAGTGCCCTCAAAATCCTCAAAGTCATCAAGACAAAGAGAGAGTGAGGGACTGTCACAGGGAGGAGCGGAAGGAGACAGGAGGGCTGAAATGAAATGTGGACCTGGAAGGGTCCATACATGAATGGTTCGTATATTGTAACTAATTATACAAATATATCAGAAATGGGTGACTCTGCCTAGAGTCTGTGGAAAATCTGTAAACCTGAAACTGCTCAAAATGGCCTTTTTTTTTAAAAAAAAAGATGTATTGATGTATATGAGTGATCTATCTATATGTACACCTTTATGCCAGAAAAGGGCATCAGATCCCTTTATAGAAGTTTGCGAGCCACCATGTGGTTGCTGGGAATTGAACTCAGGTCCTCTGGAAGAACAGCCAGTGCTCTTAACCACTAAGCCATCTCTCCAGCCCCAAAACAGCTTAAAAGAAAGAAAGAAAGAAAGAAAGAAAGAAAGAAAGAAAGAAAGAAAGAACGAAAGAACTAAGATACCTGAAACCAGGACAACTATTTCTGTAAGTTTATCTGAAGGAGAAAGCAAAGTGGGCTCTTCGTTGAAACTGGGGCTGACTGCTCTGAGGGGGAGTGAAGATAGGAGGATCTGAAGTTCAAGGTCAGCCTGGGCTACAGAGTGAAATCCCCATCTCCAAAAATCAATTTATCAGTCAACCACTAACCAATCAAATAACCAGAAACCAGTGCATTTCACATTTACACATCAGCTTCTGTGTGTGAGGCATACGTGAAGTCTACTTGGAAGAGGCTCCTGCTAAATATGTTCTAAGAACTCGAGCTGTGAGAGACAAGTTGGGGAAAGACAAGAATGATGGTCTGGAGGTGGTCCGGGGCAGGGCAGGTGGACAGCAGGCTGGAGATCCTGGGAACTCTCTAGATTACTGAGGAGTCTGGGCCAGTGCCTGCAAGGGGGCCGGGATTCAGCCCTTGTGAATCAGGCTGTCCCTGCCTGACATGAGCAATATTCTTTTGTTTTTGTGTTTGTTTGTTTGTTTTAGACACGGTCTCATTGTGTAGCACAGGCTGAGAACTCACTACTTAGACCACGCTGACTTTGAGTTCTCAATCTTCCTGCCTCTGGGTGCCTCAGGCATGCACCGCCAGCTCTGAGCAATGTTTTTCACTGAGCCCGAAAAGAAAACATGGGATAAGGAATAGATCCGAAAAAGGTGAGCTGGGGAAGAAGAGCATTATGGGTAGAACACCTATATCTGTACCTGGCTCTACAAGGTGGGTGCCCGTGGGCAATTTACCACTCAGATTTGTTACTAAAGTAGGTGTATGCAGGAGTGAGCGGGCAGCTTGAGTGAGCCCGTTAGTCAGTATTTAAATCTCATAACCACCCTTTGGGGATTTTATTACTACCTCCATTTTTCATATTAACAAAACCAAAGTTCTATCAGCATCCAAAGCCACAGAGCCACTAAGCAACAGGGCTGGCTTGGACTCAAGTCTGTCCTTTGGCCATTTTCGATCACCCCACATGCTGCCCTAAGATCCACAGCTGACACATCTCCTTGGGGGTAGCTGTTATGGCTGTCCCCAGCTTTGGTTCATCCTGCAATGTGGTGCTGCCTCTGGCCTCTGGGGAGTGGGCTCCAGCTTTGGAGGGAAGTGGCCTGCTTCCTACTCTCTCTGCAGAAGCCAAGCCCTGCTCCACCAGACCACCTCCCCACCCTCCTCCTCAGCCCACGGGGATCCCAGCCGACTATCCCTCTAGGCAGTCTTAACCAAGATGACAGGTTTCAGGTGCTTTTTAAATTAAAACAGTTCGTCTCTGTTCATCTCTTTCCCAGATGTCACTACCTGGCAAGAATCTTCTTTATTTATTGCTCTTTCCTGTACAACTCTGAGGGAATTCCCTCCCCAGGACCCCGAGGAAAGGGCCTAGATGTGGGGAGTGACTTGAACCTGCATGGGACAGGGCACAGCATATGCTGAGAGTTTGCCATTAGGGGTTCCCCCTGGCCATGAAGCACCATGTGACTGATGGTGGCTTGTGGTAGGGCTGTGACCTGCTGGTCAGCTGTACATGTAGGATGCAGCAGTTTGATCCTCTCAAGCTGCCAACAGCAGCAGCATTTTCCTGCTGTACAGGGGACCAAGAGCTCTCTGATCCACTCTGCAAACTGGTTTCTGGGCGACACTTCCAGCTGCCCCTAAACCCAGGTCTGCGCTCACCCAGGGGGTTGCTATTTCCCTGGCTTTCTGTCTCCACCTGTCCCCTCTCACCCACTCCCCAGAAGCAACCAGAAAGATCCAAGGAAGATTAACATTCCCACAGAGCCACTTTGCCTTGATCAGCCCAGAGCCCCTCCAGCCCAGCCCTCCCCTCCTGCTGCCTTTCCTGGCTCACAAAGGGCATGGCCACTGCAGTTTAGCCTGGGCTCCACTCTCACACTGTAAACTGGGCCTCTGGCCTGCTCTTCTCCCAAATGGCTTTGTTCAGCCCAGCTCCTCTGCAAATCCTCCTGCCACTGTGGTCTACAGGGTCCCTGCGAGACATGCATAGCACCAGGCTGCCTCTGCATATGTTTTGGTCACCAAATGCACTCACCAAAGCTCCCACAATGAATGGTGTTTCTGGTGCCCAGCTCAAGTGCAGCCCGGAGCAGGTCCCTGATGCCAGGCTGGGTACACTTGTGAAAAATCTGGAGAGCCAGCCGCTCAGGGGCCGCACTGCTGTCTTTTTAGAGTAGAATCCCATATGAACTGCCATGGTCCAAGGGGCCCCTGGACAACATGCTAAGGATTGGATCCACAGTGGTTCATCCAGTCCCACACGGACACTTGGTAAAAATGAAAGGCTGTGTTCCCGAAGTACAGAAAAGGAGTTGGTTCATGGACAGACACCCCAAGGGGTTGATTTGAAGATGCTGTGTGCACAGTCCTGTGGAGATATTCCCTAGGATCAACCTGTGGTGGCATTCTACAACTTTCCACACTCGTCTGCTGTGTGGCTTTGTCACTGAGGAGCCAAAGGAAACACTAAACACACATTTATTGAACTCTGCAGTGAATGGAGCAGGGGCTGGGCTGAGGCACAGCTGGAAGCTGAGTGAGGCCTGTGGACTTCAGCAGTCCCTAAGCTCTGGCATCCTGGCATTACAGGGTCCTCAGCAAGGCCTGGACAGAGATGGGCAGACATGAAAGTGTTACTCACCCCTTGCTCCTGACAGATTTGCGTCAGCCTCTCCAGCTGCTCCTCTTGGATGGCCTTGGCCTTCTCGTACTGCTGAGTAACCATCTCCACCTCCAGCTTGACCGGCAGGACATAGGCTGGAAGACAGAGGGAGCCCTGTGAAGACCTGGCCAGTGGCTGGGCTTGGGCTGGGGAGAGGCACACCCAGCATTCAGCCGGCAGCCGCTTCAGAGCCCAGACTTAGTTTGTGGAGCTGGGGGTGGGGCAGGTGCTCAAGGCATCCAGAAAGTACAGTGGGGCCACAAGCCAAACTCAGCCCCTTCTCTTCCATAATGACATAGCCCCCAGATTGCTGGTATAACTTTTACAAAGAATGACTATATTCTAGCTTTTGTAATAGTCATGGGGGCCATAAGACAAATTCTGTCAGAGTTGGGAACCTCAGATCCTACAGGCATAGGGTATAACTGGAACACAGTCAACAATCAAAGGCTAGTTCTGAGGTAGGCAGTAGGTAGATAGGTAGACAGACAGACATCTATTAGTGTATGTGTGTGTAGGGGGGGTCTCCTCTTGCTTTGTACCTTCTCCCTCTATCCTTCCTGGCTATGATGAGGAGTGGTAGTTGGCACCGGTACAGCCATCTTGGACCATGAAGTGACTCTGAGGAGTAGGTTATGGACATCACAGCAACAAAACAGGAAGTATTTAGCACACTGAGTAGAGAGCAAGTGGCATGTGCCATAGGTGGTGAGTGACATCTGCCACCTTCTGCAGAGTTCCCGGAGAGAGAAGTGAGCATGTGCGCCAGGGAAGTCAGTGACATTCCGGGTCTCTGTTAACAGATGATCCTACCGACGATACACTGTGAGATACCGAGGAGAAAGCCAGGGCTCTGAGTATGGGGTCCCCATGATTTCTCAGCTAACAGTAGCCCCACAAGCCCTGCCCTTGGCCGGCGGGGCTGGGGGAGTCTTTGAGCTTAGAAGCGCTATAATCTATAGGAGTCTGAGAATCAACTCTAGATCTTGACCTCTGCAATTTACTCCCTAGGGTCAAAGGCCAGCCCTTTCCAGTTTTTCAGAACACCCAGTGACAGGTGACATGTGTCTCTAAGCACTGTATTCTAGACCTCTTCACACCCCATCCCTGAGGAGAAGGATGGGATGAGCCCCTAAAGCCTCCCACCTCCAAGCTGTCCCTAACTGCTGTTGCCTGGGCTGTTGCTCACGCCCAGGGTGAGAACTTCTCCTCTGCTCACACTTGGTAATTCCTGTTCTCACGCCCAGGGTGTGAACAGGAATTACCAAGTGTGAGCAGAGGAGAAGTCAGTTCACAGTGGGCTTTCATCCTCCACTATCCACAGCTGGCAGGGTCTAGAGGGGAGCAGATGTTCTCCCGAACAGAACTAAGACCCTGAGCAGGAGGGACGGATCAAACAGCCGAAAGAGCACTGAGGTGGTGTGTGTGTGTGTGTGTGTGTGTGTGTGTGTGTGTGTGTGTGTGTGAGACCTGGGCTTCAATCATGATTCTGAGCACCATTCACAGTGTGGCTCTTTACCCTTCTTTGACTTAGTTTCCCCATCTGTCAAATGAGGAGAATGTGTTGGATGAGTGCCTCAAGTCATGCCAGACTTTCTAAGTTGGGCAGATCCCCCAATTCAATGAAGATGCTGTAATGTAACGATAACCAAGCCTGGAAAAGAACCGTTGTCCTCCTGTTCTTAGGTGGGGCGGGTGAGAGGCTGTCCTCTCCCAGACAGAATGAAGACCCAGGAAGTCCTTTGGCCTGCCCTGCCCCTGCCAAGCTGATGCTGTTGTGGGAAGTGTGCCGTTGTGGCCAAGATTGGGGGCTGGAAAGAAACTTAACAGCTATCACAGTGGCTCTAATCTGCCTTCCAATAATCCTTTGAGGTGCTTCTCAGGATGAGAGGGGATGGGGGTCCTTGGGAGTCACTGGGCACCTCCCATACCACCTCTTTGGCGAGGAAGCAACCCAACCTGACACTGTTCTTCAGGATTGAGGCCCAGTCTTATGTGAAGGCTGGCCTTGCATGAACACAGTATGGTAGTGTGCCAGAGCTGGGTGTGGTGGTGCACACCTTTAATCCTAGCACTTACTTGGGGTGCAGAGACAAGCGGATCTCTGTGAGTTCAAGGCCAGCCTGGTCTACCTTGCAAGTTCCAGACCCGCCAAGGAAAATTGTCTCAAACAAAACAAAACAAAAACAAACATACAAACAAAAGATCAAAAATAGTTGCATGGGAAGGGGGATCAGGACATTCATGTGTGTGACATGTGATTGTGACACATAGCTGTGGGTAGCTTCAGAATACCATGCTGAAGAGGCGGGGCAGGCTTGGCTTTCTCCACGCTATGGGTCACACCCTCCACCCTACGATCACGATCACCGTAGTGCCCTGAGTCCTCTTTCCTCAACCGACAGCTACAGTCTCAGCCTCCTCACTAACCCCTCTCAGGTTACTCACCATCAATGATCCTCTTTACCCGCCAGATTCGGAACATGATGATGAGGCTGATGGCATCCCAGGGGCTTCTGGGTCCGTTCGCCACAGTGGATGCCACCATCGGAGCCAAGGACAAGATGATCACAGCCCCGTCGAATACCTGAGGAAGGGGCACACTTTAGTGTCTCCAGTCAGGCTGTGTGGCAGACCGGAGGGCAGCCAGGAAGGCCGCTGCTGCGGGTCATATTCTCCAGATATTCTGCCTGGAGAAGTTCAGCCCATCTCCAGATGCCCTGCTCTTTCTCATTCTCTCTGAGGGGTCCTCTTTCTCCAGGACATGATCAAGCATCTTTGTACTTCTCATGACCTCAGCCCTCCTCCAGCTCCAAGTTTGGACAACCTTAGGCCGGCATCCCATGTCCTAGACCCTGGGCAGAGACTGAGGTGAGTGCCTCACTGACAGAATAGGAACTGATGGCCATAGGGGCCTCTTTATCTGTGGACGGCAAGAATCCAGGACCAGTGTGTCACCTCTCACAAATGCAGAGCCTTGGAGGGCAGAACATGGAGAGGAGGAGTGTAGTCCACATGACTAAGCCTTGGACACTGGCTTTCTCTCTGTTTGCCCCAGCCAGGCCTTGTGTGGGCCTCTCTGAGGCCAGGCCCTCTGTGTAGGCTCCCAGGTTTGGGCTCAAAGACATAGAGGAAAGGGAGGAAAATATAGTCAACGCTGGATACCTAAGCCCAACCTTGCCTTGGTCTGCTGCATAAAACGCTGGCTGCCTCCAGGCCTCCATCACTGTAGGGACTTCTCCCTATGCCCCAGCCCCTGTCTCCCTGAAACAGTGTGGACATCCAGACTGAGAAGAGAAGTCACGGCTTCTCAGAGCCATGCTCCACCACTGGGTCATTCTGGAGTAGATTTATTTGTTTTCAGATACATCTCTCCGGCTTTTCAAATTGATTTAACTTTAACCGTGTACATTTTGTGAACCTCAAGGGATGTTTTAAAGAAAATCTTCAGTTGGAAAATGTCTGGGTTTGTTCCCTCCCGGCCTCCCACCCTCCTCCCACACCACCCAGGTGGCACCCCTGTGGTCAAATGCATGCTGGGGGAGAGTTCTTGGGATAGATGAGAAACATGCCCAGCTTCTAAGATCTGGGGATAGAAGATGGTCATACCTCTATTTTGTTTTCGATGTAATCCCAGATCCCCAGCACAACAATCCGTAGAACAGTCTGAGGACCAGGAGAGAGAGAGAGAGAGAGAGAGAGAGAGAGAGAAAGAGAGAGAGAGAGAGGAGATTATTGTTCTCTCCGTTAAGAAGGTTCCAGAGCTCAGATGTGGAGCTCTGTTGTCTCCACGCACAACAAGTTAAGGTCTTCCCCATTCTCCATCCGGTCCCCAGTCTACACACCCTCCCCATCCCCACTACCAGAGCCCAGTTCCAGTACAGTGGTGGCCTTGCCTTTTATGGTCCCCTCTGTCCTCCAGCTCTGCCCCTTCACCTGCCTGTGTGCTATCCCCTGGGTATCCGTTACACCAGGCTCATTCATTCAAAGTCCTTACACTCAAAGGCCGTACAGAGCACACTCCAAACCCCTTAGAGTGAATGATACCCAAGACTCTGCAGCCCTCTTCAGCATCATCTCTTGCCACTCCCAGCAAGACAAAATCATGTACACATCTGCAAACTTTCTCCTATTCCCTGGTCACTGCGCCATGGCAAAGGGTGGGAGTTGCTTCTCTCCGTATCTCTCTGTTCTGCACTAAGTCTTCAGCATAGCCACACAGCTAAAGACACCATCTCCTGGCTCTCCTTGGGCTTGGGAGGGGCCAATGGTGGTGACAAGAAGCACCACGTATAATTTTGGGGCTGTGTCCTTAAGTTGACTTATCTCTGCTCACTCTGGTATATAGGCATGGTGGTGCCTTCTTCAGTGAAGAGGACAGGAGAGAGAAGGAAGCCTGCTGGGTCTTCAGCAGCTGCAAGCTTACACATCTGTCTTAACCCCTTACTCAACAAAACCTGTTCTTCCAGTCTTAACTCCAGGGGTAGGAAGAGCTCTGGGTGGGGGTGTTCCGAGACCTCTTTTTAAAGTCGCATACAATAACGGCTCTTTGAGAAACCCCTTCTCTGGACACCACTCTTCTCTTCTGCTGGACAGGTGGGCTAGAGGACACAGCTCCAGACACTGATGAGAAGAACCTGTCATCTAGGATAGGCCAGTAAGAGCCAGGTGCCAGGTGCTGTGCCAGCCCTCCTCACGTGTGAGTCTCCTTTAACCAAGAGAGAGGGCAATGAAAGAAGCTGTCCAAGGTCCTAAGCAACTGAGGTAAGAAGTTGCTATTTGGAGCCAGAGGAGGTTTCTCTCTCTGTGCTCCAGCTGGGTAGAAACACCACATGCTCTCCTGCCTGCTCCCTCATACGCTGTTGGATTTGAAACTTTTTACTTTTCTCTTTTGAAAGATACATCCACCCTCAACTTCTGGGCCTTCCCTGGCAAAAAGGTCCAGGCCGAGAGAAAGGAAGTGGCCTGAGCCGAGTACGATCAATGGGACAGCTACTGTTACCATTGCTTTTCATCTTTTTTAAGGGCCACTGTAAATCACAGCACACGGAGTTTACCCTTTTGAGTGCATGTCTGCCAGATTAAATACGCTCATGTGTGGCAATCGCCACCAGACCCGTGACACAATTGACAAATGAGAGCCGCACCATTCAACAGTGACGCCATGCTCCCGGTCCCTACCACCTCCAGTCCACTGTCCATGTCCTCGGGAGCCTCGCTCAGGAAGAGCTGCTATACTCTTCAAAGGCAAGGCTGGGGCATGGTGGTGCATGCCTTTAACCCCAGCTCTTGGAAAGCCAAGGCAAGTGGACCTCTGAGAATTTGAGGACAGCCTTCTCTACACAGTGAGTTACAGGCCAACCAGGGCTATATAGTGAGACACTGTATTGAAATAAAAGAAGGCTGGTCTTAGCTGAAGAGTCTGTAGAATGTAGGGTAAGGAGGTGGAGAAAGGAGAAACCCACCTCCTGGCATCCTTTCCACATCCACCCACAGCATCCCTCCATCTGCAAATATCCGTGCTGAAAACTAGTGTACGTGAACCAAAGGACATGCCCCATCACCCCCCAAACCCACTATGTCCTGCATCTCTGAGAATACACTTTTCAACGTGAAGTGGCCCTGCCTCAGCAACATCGGGGGTGTTTTGTTTAAAACACCAGATTTCTGGACTCCCAGGGAGACCCAGGGTACTGGACTCTGGGTTCAAGGCCTAGACTATGTTTATAAGCAGGGCTGCCACAAAGCTCCAGTGGGAAGTTCTAGTGCAGAGCAGCAAGCTGAGAGATGCTCACATCTCAGCCCAGGCTGCTTCTTTCCCACAGTGGGGGGAGGTTCAGAGTGGAGGGTAAGGGTTGTCAGACCCCTCCTTTCCAGACTGGCTGCCTTCAACAGGTGGCACAGATCAGCAAGGTATAGGAGAGTCTTGTCACACCGCCAAGACGATCCATTTGGTATTTATTTCAAACCAAGCACCTACTTCAGATGATGGGTGCAGGCACTGAGGTTCAAGGGGCCGGTAAATCTGTTTTCCCACCTCATCCTTTCTCCATCATGCCCAGCTCATTAATCCAGGTGGAGGAAAAGTTGACTTCGTGGGGTGGTGGAAAGGGAGGGGCAGAGTTCAGGGGCAGAAGGCCCCCTGCCAGTTTATGGCTTGAGACCCTCCCCTTGGAGAATCACCCTCTTTGCCTTGAACTTGGAGACTGTAGCGGATAGAGGAAGAAATACCTGCTAGGACGGACATCAACTTGGAGCACAGTTGTAAGAGGTGCTCCTCCTGGCTCAGTACTTCCTGAATGGAGTGAGGCAACACCCCAGTCCCTAGGCCGTGGCCAGCAGTGCTTCAGTCTGATGGGGTTGGAAATGAGTGGTACCTCGATCCCTCCCTGAGCTGGAGATGATCCTGGGAGAATGCAGATCTTGGACAAGTCTTCCTTGGGGTTAGAGGAAAAGCCCTGAATCAAAGTCCAACTACACAACCATAAAAAAGGATGTGGGTGCGGTGGCTGTCAACTTGACCACACCTGGGATTAACTAAAACTCAAGCAGCTGGGCACACCTGGAAGGAATTTCTCTTTATTGAGTCATCTGAGGTGGAAAGACCCATTCCAAATCTGGAACACCCATACCTCTCGTAGCAATCCATATAAAAGGGCATGAAGAAGGATGCTTTTACTTTTTGCCTGCTTGGCCTTGCTCTCACTGGCAAGTTTATCTGTCCTGATGTTAAGTTGCTAAGTCCTTCCTTGATGTAGGAGGGTCATCAGTCTATGTGTTACTTTCATTGGTTAATAAAGAAACTGCCTTGGCTTTTGATAGGACAGCAGCTTAGATAGGCAGAGTACACAGAACAGGATGCTGGGAGAAAGAAGCAGAGTCAGGCAGGCGCCATGATTCCCCTTCCCGAGACGGACGCTGGCTAGACTCATGCTGGTAAACCATGACCTCATGGTGGCATACAGATTATTAGATATGGGTTAGTCAAGATGTGAGAGTTAGCCAATAAGAGGCTAGAACTAATGGGCCAAGCAGTGCTTAAACGAATACGGTTTCTGTGTAATTATTTTGGGTAAAGCTAGCCAGGAGTGGTGGGAATGCAGCCCACTGCTCCTTTTACTACACTTCCTTTCTTCTAATAGAGTCTATTTCTTTGGGATCCCAACAGATACTAAAGACTGTCTGAGATATCCAGCCTTGGGAACTGAACAACTATTGGATTCTCAGCCAGCCTCTCTCTCTCTCTCTCTCTCTCTCTCTCTCTCTCTCAGTGTGTGTGTGTGTTCACCCTATCAGTTCTGTTCCTCTAGAGAACTCTGACTAATACAGTGGGAAACCCTGCAGAAGGAGGAACTTAATTAATTTTGAGTTTTCTTAAAAGAGAGTTTCTGGGGCTAGAAAGATGGCTCCATGATTTAGAGCCCATGCTGTCCTTCCAGAGGAACGGAGTTAGGTCCTCAGCACCCATGTTGGGCACCTGTTAACTTCAGCTCCAGGAAATCAAATGCCCTCTTCTGGCCTCCATGGTCACTACACTCAGGTGCACAAACCCAATCTCAGAGACACACTCCTAAAATAAAAAGTCTGCAAAGTGACAAGTATTTTTTGAGAAGGAGAAAAAGAACACATCCCTTTCTGTAGCTTATTCCTTCTAAATCCCTGAGCTAGGGCTGGTGACTCAGGAGACTGCCTCCTCCCAGGGTCAAAAGGGTGCAGCCCCAACCAGACATAGCAGCTGATACTTGCAGGGGCCCTGAGCTCACAGGCAAGTTGGCCTCATTGTCTCTCCTCACGCTGGTGCATTATGGCATCAGACTCCTGCCATTTTAAAGGAATGTGATCAAAGCCTACAGGACAAAGCAAGGGGCAGCAAGTATGTGATTGAGTGCCTGCCACCTCAGTGACTGACGATGATGGAGCACTTACAATGTATGGAGCAGTGAGTGACTGATGCTGTTGGAGCACTCACAGTGCATGGAGCAGTGAGTGACTGATCCTGACAGAGCACTCACAGTGCATGGAGCAGTGAGTGACTGATGCTGATGGAGCACTCACAGTGCATGGAGCAGTGAGTGATTGACGCTGATGGAGCATTCACAGTGCATGGAGCAGTGGCCCTGACTTTGCTGAGCAGAGAATGAACAAGGCTCTAGTTCCAGAGCTTCCTCTCAGCATAGAAACATTTTCAAGTCTAAAAATTTAAATAAATAATCCCTCATGGACCACATGTGTTCACTGAGCCACTGACTCCCCAACCCTTCTTCCCAGGCAAAAGGGCTAAACAAAGGCATCTCTAGTGAACCTGCCACAACTTGTCTTCAGCTCCTGATGCCAAAGGAAAACGGTCCCCAGTCCCTGGGGTTACCAATGAGCCTGATGCCAAAGCCCTCATTGTGTCTTGTTTGGTGCCTGTTTATGGGTTGAATTGGGCCATTTGTGGTGCTAGCAATGGCTCTGTTGGAAGAGCACTGTTTCCAGGACAACCCCCTTCTTCCCTTTCTACCCCGCCCCAACTCTGGATTTTCCTTCCATCCCCCTGGCTACATTTTTCTCAGCTACATTTGAAGGTTTCTATGTCATCTGCCTACACCAAAATTGTCTCCCAGGGCTATTGCCTCTCTTTAGTTCCCTGAACCCTTGGCTTTACCCATCAGTTCCCCGAAGCT